TCAGGTGCAGTTGTAGATTTTGTTGCTGTTGATCTTTACTTCATGTTCTGGTTCAATTTTTTTCATTTAAAATTTTGTATTTCTGCTTTATTTCCACCAAATAATTTAACTTTTGCATGAAGTTCAGAGAGGAAACCACAACACTGGCACCCAGTCACAGGGGAGGAGGAAGAGGAGGGTTTTACTCTGTATGAGAGTGAACTGAACTCAGTCTTTGTGTGATATCAGCGAGCAGCACGAGGAAACGTTTCAGAACTCTGAACTAACCTGAGTTTAATTTCTCTTTAGTTCTGATCTCACTGCTGAGCTGCACCACAAACCAAGGTCAGTAACCTTCTTCTGTCACACTGTAAACCTGACTCACTCCTCCAGGAGACTGTGGGACACATTTATTTAAAAAATAAAAAAAATCCTCTCCCTGTTGCATCACCAAACCTGATTTTCTGACATGATGTCACCTGTTTTTCTAAATTAAACATCCACACATAAGGAAATATATCTGTGCAATAGAATATTTTCATTCAACACCCAATTGCAGTTAAAACTGAATTTATAGAAAAGAAATGTGTCATTTACACTTCAGGTATAAACATCAGCTCATGTTCTACTGTTTAGTTCTTCAGTGTTTGAGCCAGCTGGAGCAGTCAATAAGAACAAAGCTGATTTTCTGTGTTTATTAGGACCACATGTTTGTGTTTGTGGGGTTAACTCTCATATAAAAGTGCTTCCTGGCAGAGAAAAGTAGACTGACCCTGTGACATGTAATGATGCAGAAAGAAGAAGAAGCAGAGAGACGCGTTTACTGGCTGTCAAACTGCTGCTGATCTCAGTTACTTCTTAGGATTGATGTCAGAGAGCAGACACTATTTTTAGATCTGAAATCATGTGAACATTATTGTTACGTTAGGACTCAGACTGCACATGTTAAAGCAGATGTGATGATTGGTTCATTGCTTCTTGTTTTAGACTCGTGCAGGTTTAAGTTGCACTGAAGCCAGTTTATGATGTAAGGTGCAGTCGCAGCCACACAGTTTATGTCTCTCTGACATCAGAACAGAAAAGCAGCAACACGTCTCAGCTGACCTGCTGTCACTAACAAGAAGATCAAACTTTGTGTTTAACATCGTCCTCGTCTCTGACAGCTTCAAAGAAAACTCCTCCATCGTCCTGAAGAAAAGGATCAACTTCATCTAACATAAAGTTTGAGGATTTAAATGGAGGAAACATCTCTGTTGTGGTTGCTCTGTAAGTTCACTCTCTGTATTTCTGGAAGATTCAGATGATGAAATCTTTAAAAAGCTCATAAAACACTCTGTAGTTTGTTTTCAGTGATGTTTGTCTGTAACATGAATCTTCTTCACGTGTTTGAATCCAACAATCTTCCTCCTTCCTGCTCTGATTCTGCTTCAGTATTTTCTTACAATCAGCTCACAGAGATGTTCCTGGCTCTGCTCTCTGATCACTTCATTAAACACCACAAACTCTAAACTAACCTGACACTCATTTCTCTTTAGTTCTGATCTCACTGCTGAGCCTCAACACAAACCAAGGTCGGTAAGTTCATCATATGGCGCTGTCACGCAGTTTAAAGTCATTAACACTGTTAGTTGTTACTGCAGCCAATGATGAATCAGGACCACAATGTGTTTGAATTTAGTCCTCGACTACTTCATGCATCTGTAATCTGACAGTTATGAAATATCAATACAATGAGAGTCACATTTTTTTCTCATTTCTGTATTTATTCATCCATTTTTACAGATAAAAAAGAC